AAAAAAAAAAAAAAGAAAAAATAATATGAAACCTTCATGACCTTGGGTTAGGCAATGGTTTCTTAGATATGACACCAAAAGCCAAAGACACAAAGGAAAAAGTAGATAACTTAAATGTCATCAAAATTAACAAATTTTATACTTCACAGGACGCTGCAAAAGTGAAAAGCCAGCCTACAGAATGGGAGAAAATACTTGCAAATTACTTATTTGATAAGGGATTTCTATGTAGAATATATAAAAGTTTAATGCTGGGCATGGTGGCACATATGTGTAATCCCAGTACTTTGGGAGGCCAAGGTGGGAAGACTGCTTGAGCCCCAGAGTTTGAAACCAGCCTGGGCAACATGGCAAGACCTCATCTCTACTAAAACTTTAAAAATTAGTAGGTGTGGTAGCTCATGCCTGTAGTCCCAGCTGCTCAGGAGGCTGAGGTGGGAGAATGGCTTGAGCCCAGGAGTTTGACGCTGCAGTGAGCCATGATCGTACCACTGCACTTCAGCATGAGCAACAGAGTGACACCCTGTCTCAAAAAAAAAAAAAAAGACCAAGGACTTGAATAGTCAATTCTCCTAACAAGATACATACACAAATGACCAATAAACACATGAAAAGATGCTCAACACTATTAGTCATCAGGAAAATGCAAATAAAACCACAATGAGATACTAGTTCATACTCACTAGGATGGCTGTAATCCCAAAGATGGACAATAACAAGTGTTGGTGAGGATGTGAAGAAATCGGAACCCTCCTACCTGGTGGGAATGTAAAATGGTACAGTTGCTGTGGAAAACAGTCTGGCAGTTCCTCAAAAGGTTAAACCTAGAGTTACCATGTCACCCAGCATTCCACTTCTAGGTATATAACCAAAAGTAACAAAGACACGACTCTACAAAAACCTGTACATGTAGGTTCATAGCAGCATTAGTCACAACAGTCAATAGGTGGAAACAAACCACACGACCATCAACTGATGAATGGATAAATGAAATACAATACATCCATCCAATGGAATATTATTTACAATAAAAAGACATTGGCCAGGAGCGGTGGCTCACGCCTGTAATCCCAGCACTTTGGGAGGCTGAGGCGTGTGGATCATGAGGTCAAAGTTCAAGACCAGCCTGGCCAACATGGTAAAACACTATCTTAGTTTTAATACTACAAACATTAGCCGGGCATGGTGGCATGCAACTGTAATCCCAGCTATTTGGGGGGCTGAGGCAGAAGAATTGCTTGAACCCAAGAGGCGGAGGTTGCAGTGAGCCGAGAGCACACCACTGCACTCCGGCCTGGGCGACAGAGTGAGACTCCGTCTTGTGGAAAAGAAAAAAAAAGACATATAGTCCTGATACATCCTACAATATAGACGAGCCTTGCAAACATGATGCTAAGTGAAGAAACCAGTCACAAAGAACATTTCATATGATCCCATTTGTATGAAATGCTCAGAACAGCCAATCCATAAAGATACAAAGGAGATTAGTGGTTGCCAGAGGCTGGGAGGATCTCTCTGGGGCAATGAAAATGCTCTAAAATTAGATACTGGTTATTGCTGCACAACCGTGCAACACCTAACTGCAACCTACTAAAAGTCATTGCAGGCTGGTCACAGTGGCTCATGCCTATTAATCCCAGCATTTTGGGAGGCTTTGGAGGAAGGATCACTTGAGCCTAGCAATTTAAGAACAGCCTGGGCAACATAGTGGACAACATTTCTACAAAAAATTAAAAACTTAGCAAGGCGTGGTGGCATGTACCTGTCGTCCCAGCTACTTGAGAGATCAAGGCTGCTGTGAGCTATCATCATGCCACTGCACTCCAGCCTGGGCAACAGAGTGAGACCCTGTCTCTAAAAAAGTAAAAAATAAATAAATAAAAGCCATCACATTATATACTCTAAATGGGTGAATTGTATGGCATGCAAATTATATCTCAACAAAGTTGTGGAAGAAAAAGTGTGCTTGGGAGCAGAAACAAGAAATCCCAGAAAGGAGGCCCCCCTGCACCCATGTATATATGCATCTTTACCACTGTACAAAAGCAACAGAAGTGGCAGCTCAGTGAAATCAGAAAAGCTGTCCAAATCATGCCTCCTCCTCCTAAAAAGTCAGGGAAATGAAATTTATAAATAAAGAGCATGAGAGAAGTAGCAAGGTCAAATCCCCTCAAAGTCGTTATTAGGAAAAAGAGAATAAGGAACAGAGTAACACCTCCCTGGACAACAAAAGTATGCTAAGTGAAAGTTGCACATCCCAGGATGAAATCACTTTTTGTCAGCCCCAAACAAATTAAAGCTGGGAAAGCACCAAGGAGGAGAGCTCCTGCTTGCACGTCTAGAATAAAGACTCAAGGACTTTCTAAATAACACCACAAGAAATCCCTTCTTTAGGACTGCAGCAATTCAGACAAGATGCTCTTAAAATAACACTTGCCCAGTAATGCATCTCCACCAATGAACCGATGCCAACTCTGGCTCTGAGTCTCTGAATCCAGTGAATTGTTTCCAAGCTAGCTTATGTGAACTTCTCCTTTTGCCAATAAAAGCTTCCCCTTAGCCTCCTCTCTTTGGATGCATATTTGGCTTACCATAGCTGTGCACTGCGGACTATAATCCTGTTTTCTAATTCCCAAAGAAATTCAATGTATTTGGAGATATTTTTCTCTGGTGTCTTTAGTGTGACACTAGAAAGACATGCTTAAAAAAAAAGATCCAAATTGTTACATTCTATTTCAAAACAAGCTAAAAGACATGGAAAAATACAGGACATCTCAGGAAGTGAGATAAGAAAGAATTGGACAATTGAAATATTGAGAAGTGACAACTAGAAGATTAAACCCAAGAATGAATATACATAAGAAATAATGAGAAAATTTTAAAACTCAAAAAGAAAAAAGAACCAAAAAGGATTCAAGAGAAAATGACAAATACTGAAGATGGGCAGGGAATGTGTCGGGTGCATGCCATGCTGGCGCTGTGACTGCAGTTCACAGAAGCAGTTCCTGCAGGACACAGTGACTCCCACAGCCCTGGAGTCCCTGTAACTGACCTCCCTGGGCAGTGAGCACCAGTGCTGGCCCCACGAGGCAATGGCAAACCCACAGCCCTCCTGCTACCTGGAGAGGCTGTCCAGAGCCTGGATGAAGTGGTCTGTCCCTGAACCATCCTTCTCGGGGCTCTCCATCAGAGACATGGTGGCAAAGACCACGTCGCTGGCCAGGAACTTGTGCTTGAACCCAAAATGAATGCTGAAAGTCTGCATGCGCATGTCCTTCATCCTGTCACAGGAGCAAACACAGTTGTCACTCTCAAATTGTGGCCACGTTCTCATGGCCAGGCAGGCCAACAGATGTGCTAATGTCCCTCACAGGCCTGAGCTAATGCTTCTGGCATGGCCATGCTGCTCAGAGGATGAGGCAGGTCAGAACATCCAGACATACCAGCCCTGCTGCCCAGAATGCCTGGGCACCTTCTTGTCAACAGCTGCTCAGGGGGCTTAGGAGTGTGTGGGGTCCTCTTCCACACCCTAGCATGCCAGCTAGCCAGGGTGGGAGAAGCCAAGGGCCTCTAGGAGTGCCCATGGACTTAGTAGGGCAGAACTCACCCTAAACCTGGCTCTGTGGCCCATTTGCTGCCTCCAGTGAAACACACTGGGGTCGACCTCACAGGTCCCACAGCGGCCCTTGGATCCAAGGATCCTAAACCTCACAAGCTTGAAGTCGTGCTATTTTTAACCCAAAAAGAACTCTAGGCTTTAGAAATGGCCAGGCTTGGATAACACTCAATTGTACATTTTTGGTTTTTTTTTTTTTTTTTTTTTGCATCATTTTAGGAGCACAGTTAAAGTAGAACGCTTCACTTTAAAGAAGCTAAATCCAGAAAAATGTGTTTACCCAAATTTATTTGCAGACTCTTCAATCATCTCCCGCAAATTCTCCTTCAAGGAGATGTCCATGGCCTGGAACTTCTGCTTCACCTGCTTCAGGGGAAGACTAGAAAGAGCAAGCCCAAGCCACATGAGCGAGGTCACCAAACACCAAAGGGTGGAAAGAAACCCAAACCAAGGGTAAGTGAGGATTTCCCCACACCAGCATTTATACAATGTTCTGGGATCTAGGGTGAGGAGCTTATGGCAGAGCAGGCTGCATTTTATAACTAAGTTAGTCACAACAAAGCAGAGGGGCTTTTCCCCTGGGGGTGGCCAGGGCTGGCGCTGCAGGCCCAGGCAGTCACTCACCCCATGTCTGCGAGGAACTCTTGGAGCCGCTTCTGTCCATGCACAGACCACAGTTTGAACCTGGCTGCGGTATAGCTGGTGTTGCACAGGCTGTCGTGGAGGGACCAGTGCTGGTAGAGTGCCAGGCGGAGGCTTGGTCTGCAGTCAAGGAGCATGCAAGCACCCCCTGGTCACCCTGAGCACAGAGCCCCACCCTTGTAACTCCAGCAGATGGGCCACTCTTATGGTGGGGCCCTTCCTCGCCGGGCCTGCCTGTATGACCAGGTATTCCAAGGGTGATCTGGAGTTCTTTGACCAAAGGTTTAAGCTGACCCATACAGAGAGCTTGTAAAGTGACTGGCACAGACCACCATCCCTGTCTGACAGGCAGAGAATCTGGAGCGCAGGGGTCTGCAGAGCCCATGTGCTGTGGTCACACAGAGCAGTCATGGTCACACATGACGTGGGAGGCTGGGCGTCACCAGCTTGTTGTCCTGCCCCTCTGGCTCCATCTAGCCCAGCCCTCACTACCACCTGTTCCTCTGGAGAGCCCTCCACTGGGACCCCATCCACGAAGCCCCTCATCCTTAGCCCTTTTCCTAAACTTATCCATCACTGCTCCTGGCACTGTGAGCACAGCTGTGTGTGGACCCCCCCCCCCCCCCACACACACACACACACACAGTGGACTTCCTCTCTACAGGACGAGAGCCTGGTCCTCCCCGCTTTCTCAATATGCTCAGTCCCCACTACTGCCCCTCCTAACTCCTGGGGACTCCCAGGCCCTCGGACCATCATGCTCCCTGCCCACATGCCAGCAGCTTTCCGTCTAGCCCTGGCGTCCTCAGCTCCCTGACTCCCTCCCTCCTGCCTCAGTCACAAACTCCCACAGTCCCTGGACAAGTGAGCCCACCCTGCCATCACATGATGGAATGGGCTCCTGTGCACAGTGGCTCCCCTCCCTGGGAGTTCAGCTAGCCCTGCCCCTTTCCCCAGGCTCTGATGGCCACCTGACTCCTGTTGTGCCCACACTCACTCTTCCTCCTCCCCAGCCATCACAGTGCAGAGACAAGGCAGCTCCGTCCCTGACATCATGCTACCTGATTGCTCATTGCCACTGCTGCAATCTGGCCCAAGCCACTGTTGTGTGGCCTTGGAGAACTGTGACCATCTCCTCGCCCCCAACCTATCTCTACTGGGCAGCCAAGGGTCCTTTTAAAAATGCTGACTCAAACTCTGGTCACTCCACAGCCTCCCGCTGCCCTTGGCTCACAAGGCCCCCTGCTCTGGCCTCCTGACACCTGACCCCAGCCAGTCACCTAGCACCTCCTGTGCTCAGTACAGCAGCTGCCACACTGAGTGGCATGTGTGTGATGTGGCCTCCCCATAGTCTTTCCTGAGCATTCCACCAATGTCCCATGTGCTTCTCAAAGAAATATCACACTGTGTGATTACATGGCAGCTCCCTTCATCTTTCCCGACTGCATGAACCACTGCCTGCACTGTATGGGGGGCCCGGTGCAGACTTGCTACCATGTCCAGAGCCAGGCCCACAATAAGCACTTTACAGGGATGCGCTGGAGAAGGGTGATACTTCCAAACTCAGCTCTGGCATTTAGAAGCCAAAGTCACACAGATAAGCTGGGGTAGCACATCACAGCCCCTTTTCCCAAAGCTTCCTGTTCCACCTTCTTTCCCTCCTGGGCATGTGGGCCAGAGCCCACAGAGGGTGACAAAGCAAACAAGGCCCACTGAGCAGAACCCTGGAGGCGGGAGTGCTGCCTATCCCACCCTCAGACTGGGCCACAAGGATACTCATACTCAAAGGAGATCCTAGTGCAGTCCACAGACAGTGTATTCTCCTCGTCTTCGTTCCGGTGGTTATGGCGGGACACGTGGCGCTGCAGGACACCGACATCAGTCACGTATTTCATTCTGGAAAAAAAAAAGCAGCACAAGTCTTGGCTGGTTCCCTCCAGCCCTTACCAGGCGGCCTGGCCCTACGCTTCCTAGAGGCCTGCCCACCACAGAAGCTGCTCCCATGCAAAGACTAATGACATGCAGCCTGCATAGAAACCAAGCAGCCAGGAAAATATGACTGGATGGAGCTGGGGGATGTGGTCTTTGGCCTCACCTACCTCCTGTCCTCATGGGTCTCACACCTCCTGAGAATGGGCACTGCAGAGCCCACAGCCCACACAGCCAAGATGACAGACCCCGAAAGTGACAGGAATCCACAGCAGAGCAGGTGAAATGGTCTCTATAAACTTTACAAAATTAATGAGGGCAGGGGGAGGGGAGAAATGAAAATGCACCCAGCTCACAGCACATCAGCATCAGTCTCTAGGTTGGCGTGCTCTCTGACTGCTTCCTTATAGCTACTTGGTGTCTACTGCCTCAGAAGCACGTAGACCCCGTTACAAGATTGTAGCTTCCCTAACTGCTCCATAGATCACAACTTGAACCTTAGGAAACGCTGTTTTCCCTTTGAGATATTACTTTGGGTCCCGCATACTGATGGAGCTACTGACTCAGTTGCTCTGCAGGACCCCACAAGGAGCTGACTCACGCAAGAGTACAGTATGCACACCCTGATGATTTCATCCTCCTTGCCCTGCCAATCAATGATCCTAATTTTCCAGCCCCTCACCTTTCACAGTACCTTTAAAAGCCCCAGCCCAGGTTGGGCGCAGTGGCTCACGCCTGTAATTCCAGCACTTTGGGAGGCTGGGCGGGCGGATCGCCTGAGGTCAGGAGTTCGAGACCAGCCTGACCAACATGAAGAAACTCCATCTCTACTAAAAATACAAAATTAGCCAGCATGGTGGTGTGTGCCTGTAATCCCAGCTACTGGGGAGGCTGAGGCAGGAGAATCGTTTGAATCCAGGAGGTATGGGTTGCAGTGAGCCAAGATCCATCATTGCACTCCAGCCTGGGCAACAAGAGCGAAACTCCATCTCAAAAAAAAAAAAAAAAAGCCCCAGCCCAGAACTTTTCAAGGAGATAGATCTGAGTCCGACTGGCCAACATGGTGAAACTCCGTTTCTACTAAAAACAGAAAAATTAGCTGGGCGTGGTAGCACACACCTGTAGTCCCAGCTACTTGGGAGGCTGAGGCAGGAGAATAACTTGAACCTGGGAGGCAGAGGCTGCAGTGAGCCAAGATCGCACCATTGCACTCTAGCTTGGGCGACAGAGTGAGACTGTCTCAAACAAAACAAAACAAAACAAAACAAAAACAAAAACAAAAACCCCAAACAAACAAACAAAAACACATTATGCAGAGCCTAGCCCCTTATGGGCATTTGCCCCTGGTTTGGTACCCTTCGTCACTCTGTGGAACGGACCCAGAGACAAGCCCAAGTGGCCACTGAGCTCCATTGAACTTTGGGTTGCTGCCAGTGCCCTGCCTGTTGACGGGGAAGGTCAACTTTCGGTGCATAAATTGCTGCAGCAAAGTAAGTTTCTGGTTGTTTTTTGTTTTTCTTTCTTTCTTTTTTTAATAGCCTACGGCACCCGGTATTCCCAGGAGGTCTCCCATCCAAGTACTAACCAGGCCCGACCCTGCTTTGCTTCCGAGATCGGGCGCGTTCAGGGTGGTATGGCCGTAGACAAGTTTCTGGTTTTGAAAGACACCTTAGGAAAATTTTCTCCATGCAACCAGCACCTCCTTTCTCTTCTGATTTGCTGGCCTCCTTGGAGGTCTTGTGGCCTCCTCAGAATCTTGTGGCATATTATAATCCTTTCTTAATTGGAAATGACCCAGACACCCAACAAGCATCTAAAATAATTTTAGGATTTTAAGCTATGTAGAAAGTTTACACAGACAGAGCTGCCTGGGCAATATAGAAAGATCCCATTCTCCACAAAAAGGTGTCGGGGGGGAAGACAAAGTTTACCTACAAGCATTCATACAATTTACATTTCACTTTTTTTTTTCTTTGAGACAATCTCATACTGTCGCCCAAGCTGTAGTGCAGTGGCACTATCTCGGCTCACTGCAATCTGTGCCTCCTGGGTTCAAGCAATTCCCCTGCCTCAGCCTCCCAAGTAGCTGGGACTACAGGCATGTGCCACCACACTCAGCTAATTTTTTTGTATTTTTAGTAGAGATGGGGTTTCACCATGTTGGCCAGGATGGTCTCAATCTCCTGACCTTGTGATCTGCCCACCTCAGCCTCCCAAAGTGCTGGGATCATTTCATTCATTTTTAAGTTTGCCTAGATTACTTATGAAAACTGAGCTGTTAGACAAAACTAGTCATCATTTCAAATTATTTCATTGTTAATCTTCTTTTTTTTGAGATGGGGTCTTGCTCTGTCTCACAGGCTGGAGTGCACTGGCATGAACATAACTCACCGCAGCTTTGACCTCCTGGAATGAAGTAATCCTACCACCTTAGCCTCCCATGTACCTGGGACCACCTGTGTCACCATGCCTGGTTAATTTTTCTCATTTTTTTGTAGAGACAGGGTCTTACTTTGTTGCCCAGGCTGGTCTCAAACTCCTGGGCTCAAGCAATCCTCCTTCCTCAGCTTCCCAAAGTGCTGAGATTACAGATGTGAGTTGCCACGCCTGGCCTTCTTAATAATTTTTATAGCCTGTGAGCATCAGATATTCATCTAAGAACCTTAAAGTTAAATGAATGTGTATTTTTGCTGATAACGCCCAATAATATTAATCCTATTTGTCAAAAAAATCATACAAACAAAGATCTTTCTGGTTTTGTTTAGGTTTATAGTCTTATAACCTTTCGTGCAAGGTCCTGACACCCTAAATATCCAGCTGTGACAAATATAAAATCAGTCAATAAACTCAGAAAAAAGATGTATGCTGATAGTTCTGAAGACGTTTCTATTTTCATTTTACCAATAATTTTAAAGCCAGCTTATTTACTAAAGATCATTTAAGTCACATGAACTTGAAAAATATTTGAATTTATTTACTTCATTTATGAGCACTTATTTATTTATGTCAATTTGGTGCCATATAGACACAACATATAATACATGTACATATATCTAAATTTATGTTAACCCACATACACACACAAAGATACAGCTTTTACTGTAGTACTCTAGCCATGAGATAGCAATACAAACTCGTCAGTTTCTAAAAGAGGGCTGGATCCAAATTATTTCTGACAAAATTGGAACCACTCATATGAATAAACTTTATCCCAGTAGGTAATTCTATGAAGGCTGTGAACCAAAATTTTGAATAAAGCAGTTTCTATAGCAGTTTGATTTTAAAAACTTCTTTTACCCTTTCTTTTTTTCTCCAGTTTTAAAAGTTTTCAATGACTACATTTTAGCTACAACTGGCTGAGCTGTATAAGCAAAACGAAATCTCCAAGTAGCCCTGAATTAGTAATATCATAAACAGTGAGTCTTATCTCAATAGCACTAGCTTAACACCACCAGATTCAAAGGAGGCAGAAAAGAGACAGGGATGATAAGGGCTCATCCCTGTAATCCCAGCACTTTGTTGGGGTGGGAGGATTGCTTGAGTCCAGGAATTCAACTTAGGTAACATAGTGAGAACCCCTCTCTACAAAAATAAAAAACCAACTGGGCATGGTGGTGCACGCCTGTAGTCTCAGCTACTTGGGAGGCTGAAGTGGGAAGATTACTTGAGCCCGGGGTTGGGGGAGCGGGTGGTCAAAGCTGAAGTGAGCTGTGATTGCGCCACTGTACTCCAGCCTGGGCAACAGAGTGAGACCCTGTTTTAAAAAAAGAAAGCAGACAGAAACATTCCCATAGTTTTTCCACAGGAATTCCTTCCCTTAGCAGGTAAGTTACCCACTGCACTAACCTGATGAAGACATATGTCTCTTGCCTTCCCAATTTCAAACAAAATGCAGCCCAGCGCCCAGCTTAGAGTAACCAAATCAGTATTTCTCATTCCAGACAATATACACACAACAAAAATGCAGACACTAATCACTCCACTCTGTGTCCAGATTTGACGTGGCAAGGCTCACACTTGCCCGTCAGCCTCCAGCACCTTTGATTGGGGAGGGTGGGAGGAATTACCTCCAACCAGGAGTTCAGTGGGTGGTCTCTGGGCAAGATGAAAAAGTGCATGGTCAACCTGAGTTAGGCCTGCTGAGCTTCTGCCAGCAATTCCTTCAGGGATCCCTTTCATAAACATAAATAAAAAGACAAAGACAAACAAAACACCTTCTGAAATAAAGTTACAAATTTCAGAAGTCAAGAGGATTTCTTCCAAGCAGTGCCCTTTGTTCTCCTTCCAGTGTAGAGGAAGTCCCCTCAAATGAGGCCCTTTCTATTACTAGGGAGGGTCAACAAGACCTCAGAAGAGGTCACAAGACTTCAGAGGGAGCCACAAGACCTTTGAAGAGGGCACGGGACCTCCAGGGAGCCTAGCAAATCAGAGGAGAAAGGGCTGCTGGTTGCATGCAGAAAACTTACCTAAGATGCCTTTCAAAACCAGAAACTGTCTTTGCTGCGAGCAGTTTATGTCCCAAAGGTTGACACTGCCCCAACGATAGGCAGGGCACCAGCGACAGCCCATAGTTCAGTGTCTCTGGGTCCTTCGCCCCGAAGGCGAAAGGCACTGAGCCATGGGCAAATGCCCACAAGGGGCTCCAGGCTAGGCTCACCATATGTTAAAGAACCAGCAGGTTCATATGTCCGCTGTGTAGTAAGACTTGTTATTCTGAGACAACAGAGTTTGCAGCAGCAGAAGAGTTTCATGATCGTAGGGCACTGAGTCTGGAGATGGGAGGAGACCCTCAAATCTATCATCTTCTGGGCTGGGGTTTTTGAGGGAACTGTGGAGGGTGAGGGGCTGGAAAATTGGGATTGTTGATTGGCAGAGCAAGGCGGATGAAATCATCAGGATGTGCAAACTGCACTCTTGGGTGAGTCAGCTCCCCATGGGGCCCTTTGGAACAGCTGAGTCAGTAGCTCCATCAGTTTGCGGGACCCAAAGGAATATCTCAAAGGGAAAACAGCATTTCCTAAGGTTCCAGTTGTGATCTACGGAGCAGTTAAGGAAACTACAATCTTGTAACAGGGTCTGTGTGCTTCTGAGGCGATAGACACCAAGCAGCTATAAGGAATCCATCAGAGAACACGCCGACCTAGTGACTGACGCTGATGTGCTGTGAGCTGGGTGCATTTTCATTTCTCCCCTCCCCTTGCCCTCATTAATTCTGTAAAGTTTATAGGGAGAATTTCAAGTACAGATCCTTTACAGGAAGTGCCACTGAGCACAATGAGAGCAGGAAGACCCCACTCTATGTTCCAAAGGGCCACCAACCAGGACAGTGACTGTGGGGCCTCACCTGAGAGACAGCTACACACCAGGAACAGTGCCTAACAGTGCATGCACCATGGTGTTTCTAGCTCCTACATTATCTGTGCACAGAGTCCATGCTACTCTTAACACAGGAGGGAACCGAGGCCCAACGGGGCAGTGGGCTGTGCCAAGGTGACGTGTCCAGGCAGCGGCCCCAGGTATGAAACTTGGGCTTCTGTCCTGTGGGCCTCATTGCAAGACCCAGACAAGGGCAGAGCTAGCGAGGCAGGAAATAGTGGCATGGGGCCTATTCAAACTGCAAGAGATCAGCGCCCAAGCGGAGGCTGTGCCAGGTGACAACTTGGGGACATCTGGATGGGTCCCCTAAGAGGGCCAGCATCTTGGAGTCTAGGTCCATGCCAGTCCCTAAGAGGTTCTGCCTGATGGCCACTAGAGAAGGCTGGACCACTTCCTGCATGAGAGGGGATAAAAGAAGCTGACTCCACCACACCCTGCAGCATCTGCATTCTGAGGCAGCCTTGCAGCTCACTGTCAGAGTCTATCAGATGGAGAGCCCACCACTGACGGCAAAGAGGGGTTCTGCTTCACACCAGCCCTCTTAAAATTCTCTGGAGCCTTCCCCTTGCCTTTGAGGTCAAACCCCTACTCCTTGGCAGGACATCCAGGGTCCTCACTAGGGGTTCTCATTCCGCCCCCCACCTGCTCCTGTGCCATTTATCCCCAACCCCCCACCTACTGCATGGGCCATACCTCAGCACCTTCCTCTAAGCCTGGTCCTGCCCATAGCACCCAGCATAAGCAGGGCACTGGGAGTGAAGCAGGGAGGCTGGCTCCACCTGCCTGATGAAGAGGTCACACAAGGCCAAGGTCACTCGGCAGGTACTTAGTTAGCCCTTCCTCAGTAACAAAAGCCTGGGACGAAGGAAGAGGGCCAGCCCTCCCTTCTCAATAGGACCCTATGGGGACCCTGCTAAAAACTTAAGGGCTATTGTCAGGCTGTGCACCTGGTCATAGCACAGGGCTGACCCTGCAAGCCAAGGGAGCATGTCCTTACTGAGTGATCTTGTCTTGCACCCACTGGTCCGTTAGTCCAACGATGGCCCACCTGGAGGGAGAGGAGAAGGCAGTGAAGCCGGCCTATAGCCCACCTGGGCTCAATGAGGCCTGGGGGATGGAGTGAGGTGATAGAACCCAAGTTCACCACTCTTGGGAACATCCTGCCAGTGGGGCCAGACCCTGGCTTGCCTCAGTCAAGTGGCCTCTCCTTGAGGTGGAGAGATTAGAAGGGTAACTGTGGCGTTGCAATGCAGTGTCTGCCACTGTGGGAGCTTTACGTACTCAGAGGAAGAAAACCTCCCAGGACAGCCATGGCAGCTATGACAGGAGCCAACACTCCTGCCCACTCCCAGGCCATGCCCCGCTCTTGTCCTGTACCCCAAACCCCAACACTTGTAGTAGAGTTAATGAAGGAAGATGGCAGAAGCCTGTGCTCAGCTGTTGGTGACCCTGGTGTCACTTCACCTCTCTGAACCCCTCATGTTATCTACCCCCAGCACAGGGGACCCTAGTCGTGTTCACATCTACTCATCCTGCAGCATAAAGTGGCAGGTCATAGAGTAGCAGCATTTAGGCCTCTGGTGAGCCTTCAAGGCTCCTGTCTCCAGGTTCATCTTTTTCCTATGAAACCCAGGTGAGGTCTGGCTTCACCAGCAGGATGGCCAGCCCACAGCAAGAGTGACTAGGTCCACTGGGCCCAGTCATGCCAGGTCTGCTGGTGCCATCCTTCAAGACCTCCTCTGGGCTCACTGTTGAGGGGAGCATAGGATGCTCTGTGCAGTGAGGCAGGGAAGCCCAGGAAGGTCCTCCTCCAGGAGTGGCAAAATACCTCAGCACCCCATCACATCTCCCAGTGTGGCATGCCTCAGAGGGGCCCCACCTCAGTTGGTCTTCCATGTTTGCATTTTTGCATCATGTTTTTTTATGTGTTCTTGTGCTGTTTCTGGGGTGTTCTGACATCACTGCCAAACTGAAAGGCTTGTAAAGGGTGGGCTGTCAAGGGCACTGCTGAGCACAAAGCTGGTGCTCACTGAAGGGACCCCTTCCCCAGTGCTGACTCACGTAACAGGGGTAACACAATAAAGGTTGCTGCCTGGGCATTAGAATACTACACTCAAATAGCTCAAGCCTGTGGCCAGAGATAAGAACTCAGAGGCCTCTCTCCACCCAGCAGGCTGAGCTCCCACTTTCCCACCGCTTCCTTTAAAGGGCCCATCCAGGCATTTGCCCATGAACTCAGTGGCCACACCCTATTCCCTGCATATGCTGCAAGCTGTCATGTGTGCCTCTATCTCTCTGTCTGACCCTTCATTCCTGCCTCATGTGACCTGGGGACAGAGGGCTGCCCTCCCGATTCATGGTATCCTCCCTGCCCAGGATCTGTGAAGTAAAAATCTTTGAATTGGCTTCCTGTTGTGGTGGTGTGTTGATCTTGCACCTTCCATCAGAAGAACCAGGGGCTCCCCAGGACAGCCGTTCCCTGGGACACCAGGAAGAACATAAGGTCAGGTCCCAGTGTAACTTGACACAGGTCAGAAAAGAGTCGCAAGGTGTCTGCCAGCATAAACAGGTTTCCCATGTGAGGGACCCCTCTCATGGGCTGGACAACACGGCATCAGGCCATCTGCCAGGTACAAGAAACATCCTGTGAAAGGCCCACAGTGAACAGCACGTCCAGCTCCTGTCGCTTCCCGTGAGGGCAGGGTTGCCAGCACTCTGGTGCTGCAGCTCCATTTAGTATGGGGCTCTCAGAACAATGTGGCAGTCACACACTGTGTCACCATTCCAGGGCTCCTACCTGACCTTACCACGAGACCTTTGGTGAGAGACCCTAATCCTGGTTCTGGGGCATGGGGATTATTACTTCCACACAACAGAGAAAAGGACTGAGTGACCTGGCTGAGGACAGTCAGTGGGCACATAGCCAGGTGCTGGTTTGCAGTCCAGGGAGCACAGGTAAGGACTGGCAGAGACCAACAGTCCAACAACCTCACATAGAGGTGATGACAAAGGACCCCCAGGTCTAGAGGGCGCTTCACACTCACCCCACAAATGCCCTGAGGCCCTAATTCTGTGCAGAGCATCCCAATCCCCACAGTAGTATGTCCAGAGCTGGAGGGGCCCTGGCCAGACCACCTCTAACAGAGGAGAAAACCAAGACTCCCGGTAAGAGTGTGGAGGTGGTAAAACCAGGGCAAGTCTTCTACATTCTCTTTCCTCAGAAAGACTGCAGATTTCATTTCTAGATCAACCCAAATAGAAAATGACCAGCATCCCTGTCTGTGTGCCAAGTGCCCTGTGTGCTGCCCCCACAGCGGACTCAGAGGCAGGATGGTTCTTCCTAAATCAAATTTTGCCTCCACCTGCCAGGGCTGCAAGGATACCTAGCAAGGCCTGCCTCCTTTTTTTGGAGACAGCATCTTACTCTGTTGTGCAGGCTGGAGTAGGATGGCACAATTGTAGCTCATTGCAGCCTTGAACTTCTGGGCTCAGGCAATCCTCCTGCCTCAGCCTCCTGAGTAGCTTAGACTACAGGTATACGCTACCACTCTCGGCTAATTTTTTTTTTTTTTTTAGAGGGAGTTTCATTCTTGTTGCCTAGACTGGAGTATAATGGCCCAGTCTTGGCTCACTGCAACCTTTGCCTCCTAGGTTCAAGCAATTCTCCTGTCTCAGCCTCGAGTAGCTGGGATTACGGATGCCTGTCACCACACCCAGCTAATTTCTTTTTATATTTTTGGTAGAGACAGGGTTTTACCATGTTGACCAGGCTGGTTTCAAATTCCTGACGTCAGGTGATCCACATGCCTCAGCCTCCCAAAGTGTTGGGATAACAGGCATGAGCCACTGTGACCAGCCAATTTTTTTTTTTTTTTTTAAGAGATAGGGTTTCATTACATTGCCCAGGCTTATCTCAAACTCCTGAGCTCAAGTGATCCTCCTGCCTTGGCCTCCCAAAGTACTGGGATTATGGATGTAGGATTAGGATGTGAGCCACTGCAAGGGCTGCCTCCTTCAAACCTCACACTATTCTGTCACCTGAATTTACTGGCACAGGCTGACCAGCAGGTGTGGGGAGGCTGAAGCTGTATCCTCTTCCTACACTTCCTTCCCCTGTTGTGCGAAGCTCCCAGAGCTTCATAGTTAGGAAGATGACCAGGATCACACACATTCCCAAAAAGGGGCTGTGTCTGACACTCCTGGTGGGGACAAGGGAATTGCTCTCCCTGTGAGAGGACAGAGCTGCTTATGTGGCACTGACCAAGGTAATACTCCCACACAGCTGCTGCAGGGGCTACGTACCACAGCATGTCATTCAGGTCCTTGGACAGCGTCCATGCCAGCTCAAACATCACCATGGCTGACTGTAAGGAAGCAGAGAAATCTAAGACTCACAGAAGGGGCACATGTTAGGGCTAGGCCATGCAGCCAGCTGGACCTGAGCCTGCAGGGCCCTGACCAAATGCCTGCCGATAGAGGAACTGCTCGGCCAGGGCAGAGTGCGAGAGTACATGCTAAACTGAGAGAAGTGACAGTAACTTCTTAGCTAGCTAAAATCATTACTGTCTGTATACTTTATCCTGCAGCAAGGGAAGAATTCACCTCGTGGGGGCAGCCCAGATGTGCAGCACTGGCTGGGGCCTCTTTGCATCTCCCTGGGTTCCTCAGTAATGCCCAAGGCAGGCACTAAATCCCAGAGGCCAGGAGACACCATCACCTGCCTGGTTCTGTATCTGCACACTCCTCCTGCCCTGCTTGGCTGGCATCCTCAAACACATTCCCAGGAAGGCCAGGTGAGGCAGGGAGGGCCCTAGGTCCAATTACTTGAATATTAAAGAGGGAGGAGCCTCAGGGCCTCCTGTGAGGAGGGTCTTTCCAACAGGGCCGTCCACATCAGAGGACTCCCCTAAACAAAGGGTCTGATTTGGTAAGAGACCTCAAGGAAGACTGGTGTCTGACCAGAATACCCTAAAATCCCCTTTGCTGTGAGATGCTGGGCTTCCTCCAGGGAGAGAATTTCCAAGGGAACTGGCCCCATATATCAGGAGGGAGATATCTTCTCTCTCTCTTTTTTTTTAAATTAGGAAGATATGCTCTCTAAGTGAGCATCAACAGCCTCCCCGCCAACTGCTTAGAATTTTCCATTTGCAAGGACTGAGCAGAGAGAGCAAAAGGATGATCCTTCAAAGGACAATGGAACCTTGACAATAAAAGCGATATGGGAAAAACAGTGCTTAGAGTTCAAGGTCCCAGTATTAAATTCTAAGACTAAATACAGGATATTTTATTGAAACTTATTTTCTAGGGCTCCTTAAGGCCCTGAGCTCTGCTTAACACTATCAGCACAGGTTTTCTACCTAAATTCTGTTTTGTAAAAGACACACTGATGTGCCATTATAAGTCTGTAGCATTTTATCTTCTTGCACAGAGATTAGTACAAACTCATTCTGTATTCTTGATGATGAACAAAATAAAAGCTGCTCTTCTTTGATCACCTATTGGGTGCAAATGACTATCTTAATAAGACAGAGGTTTAAGGTCACACAATGGGAAGCCATGGAGCTCAGATTCAAACCAGGCTTTTGTAGCTCTAAAATCTATATTTCTTCCTCACATTTGAGGACACTGACCCCTGGAGTCAGAATTTTATGGTCGGTTCCACCTATTTGTACTTACCGATGTCCCATGATATTCATACTGCTCGTAGTCAAAGAGGATGTCTCTTCTGTAATGACATAAAATTCAGGTCCTCATCAGGAAGTAGCAGTACAGGAAGCCAAATGTTTTGGAAAAATGCTAAACTTGACAGCATTCAATGCAATGAAATGCAAATTAAATCATGGTACTATTTGTTTTCACATATTGACCCCTTTTCTTTTTTTTTTTGTGAGGGGACAGGTTCCTGCTCTGTCTCCCAGGCTGAAGTGCAGTGGTGTGATCACAGCTCACTGTAGCCTTGACATCCTGGTCTCAAGTGATCCTTCCACCTCAGCCTCATAAGTAGACGGGGTTACAGGCATGTGCCACCACATCCAGCTAATTAAAAAAAATTTTTTTTAGAGAGACAAAGTCTCACTATGTCGTCCAGGTTGGTCTCAAACTCCTGGGCTCAAGCAATCCTCCCACCTTAGCTTCTCAAAGTACTGGGATTATAGGCATGATTCACCACACCTGGCCACTTCTTGACTCTTTAGTGGAATGTATAATTACAACGTTGGGAAATTAACACAAACTGCCAGTGGCAATGTATGATGTAAAGTGGTATAGTCCCAGAATTCCATTTCAGAGTAATTGTCCCATAATTACAATTCAAAGGAAAAAGCAAGACAAAACTTGCTGTGTGTAAAAAGTAATTCACTGAAACCTTATTTACAATGGCAAAATACTGGTAGTAACCTACATTTCAAAAAGAAGGGACACTGCCAATTAAGTACTATGCTCTTTAGAAAGCCTGTTCAGAACTATTTTAAATGGTTATATTAAGTAGAAAGATACCAAATCAGATGTATATCATGTAAAATATGCACAAGTATGTATAACCCAGGAATAGAAATCCAAACCCAGAATCTCTTTGAATTAGGCGGCACGATTATGGATTATTTTCACTTTTCTTTCCTTATACTTCCTGAAATGGTTTCATACTATCCTTTTTTGGTTTGTTTTTAGAGACACGGTCTCGCTCTGTCACACAGGCTGGAGTGCAGAGGCACAATCATAGTTCACTACAGCCTTGAACTCTCCTCGACTCTCCTCCTGGGCCTTCCAAAATATTGGGAATACAGGCACGAGCCTGTATTCCCTACATTGTCCTTATCCGAGGGGGCGGCCTTCCTCCTATGGCAGTGGCAGGAGTGCATGCCCTCAGCTGAAACAGTGGGAACATTGGCTGGATGTCCTGGGAGACCTTCCATGATGGATCCAGCAAGGGCTTCCCTCAGGACCCACCTCAAGGGCACTGCTGCATGCTCACTTCAAGCTAGAATAACCTTTCCAATATTTCCATTTTAGAGCACTTCTTATAAAGAATTTGTAAATCAAGATATCTAACTGGTAAAACTTGATAAAAATAAAGTGCCAGGGCCATGGCCCCTAATGGATGGCATGTATCTGGGAGACCTTGAGGCTGTCCTGTCACTCATGGGACTGGGGAACAACCTGGAGCTCTTCTCCAATGCAGCGGCCAAAGGTTCACTCCCAGAGCCACTGGCCCAGAGGTTCTAAATTGAATGAATTATCCTGAGACAGAAAGTCAGAGGTGTGGGTGGCACAACAGACCCCCAGGCAAATGGGCTCCTGGTGCCAGGAGAAGCTGGAAGCACAGACTCACCTCCGGGCTTCCCACTCTCGCCGCTGCCTCCTCCGCATGGTTCGCTCCACTATTTCCTATACAGGGACAAAGAGAACAAAAGGTGGAGCAAATGCACTAGGAATTTATCCCCATAGCCCGAGAAGGTTCCGATTTGGCAGAAGCCAGTAGGCTCAAACCCCTGAGAGAGAACATGGTCACACCAGTGCCCTGAGTACAGCCTGTTCCTATGGAAGAGAAGCGTGGAGGCAGGGAATAGCTGGGCCCCCTTCTGGCTCCCAGCTCTGCAGACACCATGGGCAGAAAGAGTGGGAGCTTCCCAAGCACCTGCTCCAGGTAAAACTGTGTTCATCCACCCTAGCTGCTGTCACCCACAGCACTATAGGATCCAAGGTAAGCTCACGCCCATTTTCTATCAGCTTCCATGTCAGGATGGATGAGAGCTAATGTTTCTTATGTTCTACATGTATTAGCAACTAGTCTAATGTTACAAGCATGTCATTTAATCTTCACAACAAAGGCATGGAATAATGGGGTGGGTTTAGAAATCCATGGTCTCAAGACTCCTGCTTCCGGGAAGATGGACTAGATATATTTTTTCCCATAAATTAAATATACTGAAAACTCTTCGACATCATAGATCAAACAAACAAAGGAAGGCCAGGCGCAGTGGCTCACAACTGCAATCCCAGCACTTTGGGAGACCAAGGTAGGCGATCACATGAGGTCAGGAGTTCAAGACCAGCCTGGCCAACATGGGAAAACCCTGTCTCTACTAAAAATACAAAAATTAGCCAGGCCTGGTGGCACGTGCCTGTAATCACAGCTACTTGGGAGGCTGAGGCAGGAGAATCGCTTGAACCCAGGAGGTGGAAGTAGCAGTGAGCAAAGATCGCGCCACTACACTCCAGCCTGGGCAAGAGAGCAAGACTCCACCTCAAAAACAAACAAACAAACAAACATAACAAAGTAAGACTCTGAAAGGTAGAAGTGAAGGCAGATCAGCTGAGGACTCAGGGACAAGAGGAACAACACAGCAGTGTGTTCCTTGAGTTTTCCTTCTGGATCATATATACTAGACTTGGAGCTGAAAAGCCAGCAACCTAGAAATACCAACAGGTGCAGACAACCCCCACAAAAGCTGCTCTGTCTAGTCAAAGGACTGGGAAGGAGCAGCCTCCCAAGACAGAAAGCTTTTAGGCAATAACCCATCTGTCCTAGCCAACACCACCAAGAACACTCATAACCATCCCAGCAAAGGCCCAGTGGGAGTCTAGGCTCCCATCCTTGTGAAGCTGTAGCAAGGCACCCCAACCCCTCTGTCTGGTGGTGTCAGAGAGGCCAAAGAGGGAACGGAGACTGCCACCCCTGCTGGTTGGTAAAAAGTCCATGTCCCACCTCTGCCCCAATGGTGGAAGAGCCTAGACTTCCACCCCCACCTTCCAGCAATGAGAAATTCCTCCCCTCCCTGCTAGGAGGGTGTCAGAGGTAGCAGAGTGGGAAACCTGGAGATTCACTGCCCCAGGTGACAGACATCAGGTGGGGAACCTGAACTTTTACCTCCACCTGGCATCACTGCTCCCTCCTTGCCAGAGCTGTGTCAGAGAAAGCCAACTAAAACAGAAGACTTAAAGAAGACATGAAGTCTCATAATATAATATAAAAATGTCCCGGTTTCATTCGAAAATCACTCATCATACCAAGAACTAAGATGATCTCAAAATGAATGAAAAAAGAAACCCACCGATGCCAACACCAAGATGACGAGTTGTTAGAATTACCTGCCCAAGATTTTAAAGCAACCATCATAAAAATGCTTTGACAAGCGATGACAAACGATTGAAACAAATGAAAGCCGGGAAGTCTCAGCAAAGAAATAAGATATCAAGAGACAGGCGTTCTAAACAGAGTTTAAGAAAGAACGAAAAAGTATATATATACAGAAGAAAGTTTAGAACTGAAAAACAGAACTGGAATATTAACTCAGCGAATAGCCTCAAGAGCAGAATGAAGGGGACAGAGGGAAGAATTAGTGAACTGGCAGAAAGACAGAAATTACCCAGTCTGAACAACAGAGAAAAAACTAGACCACCAAAACTACACCCTCTGGGACCTGCGGGGCTACAACAAAAGAGCTAACACTCACGTCATCGGTGCCCTGAAGGAGAGGAGAAAGAGGGCACACTGAAAACACACTTGAAGAAATAATGGCTGAAAATTTGTTAAAAGACATAACCTGCTGGCCAGGTGCGCTGGCTTATGCCTATAATCTCAATACTTTGGGAGGCTGAGGTGGGCAGATTGCTTGAGGCCAGGAGTTTGAGACCAGCCTGGCCAACATGGAGAAACCTCATCTCTACTAAAAATACAAAAAAATTATCCAGGAGTGGTGGCTCATGCCTATAATCCTGGCTACTCAGGAGGCTGAGGCAGAATTGCTTGAACCCATGAGGCGGAGGTTACAGATCCTTCAGCCTGGGAGTCAGAGTGAGACTCTGCCTCCAAACAAAACAAACAAACAAACAAAACATAAACCTGCAGATTCAAAAAGCTGGGTAATGGGAGGTAGAGGTTACAGTGAGTTGACATGGTGCCACTGCACTCCAGCCTGGGCAAGAGGGCAAGACTCTGTCTCAAAAAAAAAAAGAAACAAATAGGATAAACACAAAGAAATCCACACCAAGACACATCCTAACATCCTACTCAAACTTCTGAACACTCAAACAAAATCAAAATATCTAAAAAACAGCCAAACAAAAATGAGACTTTAATAATAGGGAAAAAGCCTGAATGACAGAGGATTTTTCATGAGAAACCACGGCAGCCAGAGAAAGTGGTACAGTATTTTCCAAATGCTGAAAGAAAATAAGTATTAACCCAGATTCTACATCCAGTAAAAGCATCTTTTAGGAATAAAAAGAAAATCAAGAAATTCTCAATGATGGAAAACTAAGGGAATTTATCACCAGCAGATCTCCCCAAAAGGAGACTCTTAAATAGAAAGGAAATGAAAAAGGAAGAAACCTTGGAAGACTGGGAAGGAAGACAAAAATACAATAAGCAAAAATGAGGTAAATACAATAGGCTTTCCTTATCCTCTTGAGTTTTATAATTATGCTTGATTACTGAAGCAAAAATCATAATACTGTACATGTAGAGGAAATATTTAAGAAAATTATATTATAAATGGGGCCGAGTAAAGGACATTAAGAGAAGATAAGGATGGGTGTGGTGGCTGATGCTTCTAATCCAGTACTTTGGAAAGCTGGGACAGGTGGATGATCACCTGAGGTCAGGATTTTGAGACCAGCCTGGCCAACATGACAAAATCCTGTCTTTACTAAAAATACAAAAAATAGCCGGGCATGTGGCACACACCTGTGGTCCCAGCTACTGGGGAGGCTGAGGCAGGAGTACCACTTGAACCTGGGAGTTGGAGGTTGTAGTAAGCCAAGATTGTGTCACTGCACACTGTACACTAGCCTGGGTGATCAAAAAAAAAAGGAAGGTAAATTAGCTGGGCATGGTGGTGCGTGCCTGTAATCCCAGCTGCTCAGGAGGCTGAGGCAGGGGAATTGCCTGAACCCAGGAGGCGGAGGTTGTGGTGAGCCGAGATC